TGTTCTTCCATCTTCCAGCTTAGCAGGAATTTATAAAGTTTCTTAATCAAGTTTTCATCTGTTTTTAAAAGTATTTTATCAAGTGGAGTCTGCTCTTTATAAAATCCTGTTGCTTTTGTATCTTTTTCATATCTTGTTTGGATTTGCAAATAGGACCACCATGTTAAGTCAATACCTTGGTGTTGAAGAGCTTGGCTGTCTTTAAGTTTTCCATCCTTATCCAAGAGATCTTTATAACTAACAATTAATTAAGTTTGGATATGCAAATGCTTCCATTGTTGAAAGCCATTCAAGTATTTTTGTATACATTTTGTGTTTAATTCTGTCTGATTCTGAGAGCAATACGTTTCTTATAGCATGATTTTGAAAGTATTTATGTGCTTTAGTTTTCTCGTACCATATAAAAGTGTGCCAACCTAGTTGGAGATCATGTCCCTCTAAATAAAGAAGTCGTTTGTTTCTCAATGTAATCCATTCTTTGAGCCAAAGCAAAATGGCTGCTTGATAATAAAGTCTCCAATCCAGGAGTCCAAAGCCCCCTCTGTCTTTAGAATCTTGTAACAGTTTACTTTTAATTCTTGCTTTCTTTCTTTGCCATATAAATCTTAATATTGTTGCATTTAAATTGTCGAAAAATGTATTGCTCAATTTAACAGGAACTGTTTGAAATAGAAAAATTAGCTTTGATAAAATGTTCATCTTAACAGTCGCTATTCTTCCTAACAGTGATAACTGAAGATTTTCCCACTTTTCCAAATCTATTTTTATTTGTTTTATTAATCTCTCATAGTTATCCTCTTTTAATGTTGTATATTTTGCTGTTAGGTAGATACCTAAGTATTTAACTTTTTTAACTATTTGAAGATTTGTCTTTTTGGCAAGTTGGATTTTCTGTTTATCTGTTAGATTTTTTGTTAGTACTTTAGTCTTTTCCCTATTTATTTTCAGTCCAGCCACTTCTCCAAATTTCTCAATTTTCTGCAAAAGTTTGATGGCTTAGAGTGGCTCCTCTCAGATAAAAACCAAATCATCTGCAAAGGCCTGTAATTTATATTTCTGGTCTTTAATCTCCAATCCTTTAATTTCTGTGTCCTATCTGATATTTCTAGCCAATACCTCCAATGTAAGAATAAATAACAAAGGGCACAATGGACATCCCTGTCTAGTGCCTTTTTTGATATCAAATCCATCTGTATAGTCTTCATTTAAAAGTGTCCTTGCTGTTTGTTTCTTATAAATTGCTTGAATTGCTTTTATAAAATTTTCACCAAAATCCATTTCCTATAACTGTTGGAACATAAATTGCCAATTTAAATTGTCAAAAGCTTTTTGTGGATCAAGAAATATGAGTGCCATCTGATTCCCTGGATGATTTTCATAATATTCCAAAACATTTAAAATAATCCTTAAGTTGTTCTTTATCTGCCTTTTAGGCAGGAAGCCGTTTTGGTCTGAGTGAATAAATTCAGTCAAAAATTTTTTCATTCTTTCCGCCATTATTGCAGCAAAGAATTTATAGTCCACGTTTAGTAGCGATATTGGTCTATAGTTTTTAATTTGTGTAAGATCAGTATCTTCTTTGGGTATCAAAGTAATATTAGCTTCAGTCCATGAATTCGGTATTTTTGTCTCTCTAAAAATTTCATTACACAAGTCTTTCAAGATTGGAGTTAGAATATCTTGTAAGGCTATGTAGAATTCATGAGTGAGTGTTTCAGAGAAATTCACCCTTTGACCACTAGGGGTCACTGCTTGCATCTGTGGGTACTTCAGTGAAGTTCACCCTTTGACCACTAGGGTCACTGCTTGCGGGTCAGCCACCAGGGTGCTCTTCCTTGAGGTTCACCCTTTGTCCACTAGAGGGCTCTCTCTGTGCGTAATTAAAGGCTCATGTGAAGTTCCTTCTTTAACCACTAGGGGGTGTTTGGAGAAAGGTCAGCTAAATTCTGTCTTCTTAGTACCACATTGCATGTTAGTGGCCACCTGGAGGTTACTGATCTTCGACCAGCTCCCATAAACTTCCACCATGGTTGTTACGTTGCAAGCTGTTGACTGCCTAGAAATTACTGAGCTCTAACTAGCTCCTATAAATATCCACTTGGTCGCTACAGCTTTGTGATAATAAGCAAGGTTAATTTGCTGCCTTTTTTCTCCTTAATTTGCCCTCAGCAAAGACACCACCAGGAGTGACTGCTTGCATGAGTGATTACTTCGGGTGAAGTTTACTCTGTGCTCACAAGGGGGTGCTGGTTACTTTGGATGAATTCAGGGAATTTTGCTCTTTGACTATCAGAGATACACTCTGCATAGTTAGAAATTTCAGCGAAGTTCCTCTTTCACCCCCAGGGGGTGCTATTAACTTGGATTGGTGCAAGCCTGCTATTTGCAGATCAGCTACCAAGGTGGGGGGTGCTGTCCTTTCAGCAGGGCTGTGAGGCAGAAGGCCTGTAGTGTAATTTTTAATTACTTTGCTTAAAATTAGATTCCAACTTGGGTCTTTAAGAACATGCAGTTATAATGATTAGCATTCCAGAGCCAATAAACTTGCACATAAATTCGCTGGCTTAGTCTGTTTGCAAACATTAAATTCAAGCTTTGTTAGCAAGTAATAAAATGTGGGCTTGCTGTTTGCAGGTTGCCACTAGAGGGGGTTACTACATTTGCTATTTGCAGCAGTGGGCTTGGTTCTGTCTTTGAAACCAGAAATCTTTTTTCCCCTCTCAGATTGCTTGGTTACTATGGCAACATATTAGTTCCTTAGCTTGGCATTTGGGGACAGCCGGAGCAAATGCTTGTTTTCAAGCAACACTGAGCTAGCAGGGGGGGGGGAATCGCCCATTCTGAACGTTAGACAAAGGCAACAGAGCTTTTTGATATGCTTTGAATTGCTAGCAGGTTTGCAGAAGATACATATTCTTTAACAACATCAATTAGCTCTCTTTCTTTTGAATTAGCACATTGCAACAGGCAGGCTGAAGAGCTTTGAAAGATCCCTTAAACAAAGTAATTAATGGGTGGGTTACATCAGATCACGGTCATTGGGAGGTAAACATCTGGTGTGGAAGAGGGGGCTTGCATTGACCTACAACCAGCCTATGAACCCCTCAGAATCCAAATCAACCACACAGCCAACCAGAGACAGCACTGACCCTCAACCAACCCACGCAAGCTCCCTCTTCCCCACCAGCAGTTCACCTCCCAATGACCCCAACTTGATCACAAGACCCATCACAAGCCTCTCACTGATGAACTCACACCTGACCCATCACAAGACCCTCACTTGACACACCCACACCTGAAGCCCTTATAAACAGAAGAACACTCACATCCCCTACACTCTGCTAAAGATGTTACCTATGCTGGTAATGAAACGTTCAGAAACCAACCCACAACCTTGGAGAATGAACCTTCACCCTACACCCAAGCTACAGATATTTGCCACTATGGCCTGCTGGTTCTTATCATGTAAGTTTTGTAGGCCATCTAGTGTCCAGTTGGTTTCAGACACTAAACAAAGTAATAAAAATGAAATACTGCAATCTTGGTCATCTCATGGTTCTAGCAAGAACCAGTCAGAACTTGCAGATTTAGGCTGCTATGTGGATTGTGTTTCAGAGATATAGTAATAGTAGTAAAGTTGGAAGGGACCTTGGAGGTCATCTAGTCCAACCCCCTGCTCAGGCAGGAAACCCTACACCATTTCGGACAAATGGCTGTCCAGTCTCTTCTTAAAAACTTCAGTGTTGGAGCATTTACTGCTTCGGGAGGCAGGCTGTTCCACTGATTAATTGTTCTCACTGTCAGGAAGTTTCTCCTTAGTTCTAGGTTGCTTCTCTCCTTGATTAGTTTCCACCCGTTGCTTCTTGTCCTGCCTTCAGGTGCTTTGGAAAATAGCTTAATTCCCTCTTCTTTATGGCAGCCCCTGAGATATTGGAATACTGCTATCATGTCCCCCCTTGTCCTTCTCTTCGTTAAACTAGACATACCCAATTCTCGCAACCGTTCCTTATATGTTTTAGCCTCCAGTCCCCTAATCATCTTTGTTGCTCTTCTCTGTACTCTTTCTAGAGTCTCAACATCTTTTTTACATCGTGGTGACCAAAAATGGATGCAGTATTCGAAGCGTAGCCTTACCAAGGCATTGAAGAGTGGTATTAATACTTCACGTGATCTTGATTCGATCCCTCTGTTAATGCAGCCTAGCACTGTGTTGGCCTTTTTGGCAGCTGCAGCACACGGCTGGCCCATATTTAGGTGATTGTCTACTAGGACTCCGAGGTCCCTCTCACAGTTACTACTATTGAGCATGGTGCCACGTATGCTGTAGTTGTGCATTTGGTTTTTCTTGCCTAAATGTAGAACCTGGCTTTTTCCACCATTGAATTTCACACAGTTGGCTTAAAAACAAACCAAAATGCATTTTAAAAATGTGCTTTGGGCCATCAGGCGCACATTTCAAGAACCTTCCTAGAAGGTTCATTAGAGACTGCCGCCTGGTGGCCAGATGAGGGAGTGCCCTAAACCTCCTGACCGCTCCTTCCTTAACAGGACCATCGTCTTCCTTTAAATTGGAGAACTCTTTCCTGCACAAGGAAGAACTTGCTCTGGGGGACTTGTAGAGGTGGCCGGACATTCAGTGACCCTGAATGGTGTCTCACGTCCGGGGCTTTGTTGGCAAATTGCCATCCCCCCCAAAAAGATGAGGGGGTCTATTTTCCAAAGCACCAAGAGGCAAGACAAGAAACGATGGTTGGAAACTAATCAAGGAGAGAAGCAACTTGGACTTAAGGAGAAACTTCTTAATGGTGAAAACAATTAACCAGTGGAACAACTTGCCTCCAGAAGTTATGGGTGCCTCATCACTGTAGGCTCTGAAGAAGAGACTGTATAGCCCTTTGTCTGGAATGGTATAGGATCTCTTGCTCGAGCATGGGGTTGGTCTAGAAGACCTCCAAGGTCCCTTCCAACTCTATTATGCTATGTTCTAGGGTGAAGGGGGAGCAGTGATCAGAGGCTCAGCTGGCTTCCAGGCTTTAGTGAGACCACTGAAGGGGAAACTCCCACTGCTCGCCTAGTGAGGCAGGGCACCTGGCAGTTGGGCTGGTGATCAATGGTGCTGTTTTTCTGCTCTATCTTCTGGCCCACCTCATCATCATCATCATCATCCGTGCTGCTCTCCGAGTCTCTCCGCACATCCTTTTTCACCTGCAAGAGAGAAAAAGAGACTTTCCTTCAGTGGGTTCTTTCATCACTCCCTTTGTAGGTGGTCACCAGCAGAAAGGCAACATCTATCTCAAGTCTACAACACAGTCCTTTCAGCAGTTCCAAGAGGCTCCACTCAGGTGATGCTGAAGACACAGATAAGCCTCCAGGTAGCTTTAATGGCTCACTAATAGAATGCAAATGAACATCTGTCTGCAAGGAGCATAAATCCTGCCATTCCGCACCACCCAGTCAGAGCTGAAGAAGCTTCTTGGATGAGAAGCGAAACGTCTTCAAAGAAAACCAAGAAAGTCCAGTTGCAACATGGAAAAGCATCTTTGGGATAACTATGACCTGGAGGACTGAGAATCTCCATAGACAGATCCTAGAAGGGGCTGCCATGTTCCAAGCGACCGTTATGTAATGCAGCCACTTAACAGAACAGAATAATAGAATAACAGAGTTAAAAGGGACATTGGAGGTCTTCTGGTCCAACCCCCTGCTTAAGCAGGAAACTCTGTACCATTCTGGAAGATGGTACAATCTCTTTTTAAAAATTTCCAGTGATGGAGCACCCACAATTTCTGAAGGCAAGCCATTTCAGTGGATAATTGTTCTCACTGTCAGGAACTTTCTCCTGAGTTCTAGGTTGCTTCTCTCCTTGATCAGTTTCCATTTGTTGCTTCTTGTTCTGCTTTGGAAAATAGCTTGACTCCCTTTTCTTTGTGGCAATCCCTGAGATATTGGAAGACTGCTATCATGTCATCCCTGGTCCTTCTCTTCATTAAACTAGACCATGGGTCGACAACCCGCCACTCTGGAGCCGCATGTGGCTCTTTCAGCCTTCTACTGCAGGTCCCAGGCCATTTGCAGAGAGAGAGAGAGAGAGAGAGAGAGAGAGAGAGAGAGGGAGGGAGGGAGGGAGGGAGAAGAGAGGGAGGGAGGGAGGGAGAAGAGAGGGAGGGAGGGAGAGAGAAGAGAGGGAGGGAGGGAGAGAGAGAGAGAGGGAGAAGAGAGGGAGGGAGAGAGAGAGAGAGAGAAGAGAGGGAGGGAGGGAGAGAGAGAGAGAGAGAGAGAGGATATGAATGTATGTGGTTGTCCTTACTGGACTTTTAGTAAAGAACGTTTAATGAAATAGTTTGATTTTTTTTTAATTAAGAGATGAGGTATGGGGATAATTATGCTGTATTTAAACATGGTAGATAAGCTACTAAAATTGTTTTTACCTGTTGGGATGAAGGAGAAAGTTTTCCCCCCCCCCCTCTTTCTCCTGTCCTTTTCTTCCCCCCCGCAATTTTTTTCTTTTCTATTTTTCTATTTGTAGTTTTTATAGTTTGCACCAGCTTTTTATTTCATAAATACGAGGAGGACTCAAATAGACATTGAGTATTTTATTTGAAAGTAACTCTTTTTGGGGGGGGGGAGTTCAGAATGTTTTTGTTGCATGCAGAAATAAAAATTTGTTTTCTTTGTAGTTCATTGATTTCATAAATGCAACACACTATAGTTTTTTTATACATAGCACAAAGGTAAAAAATGATATATGCAGTTTTATCTTCATTTTAGATGTCAAAGGGGTTTTGTGGCTCCCAGTGTTTTCTTTTCTGTGGGAAACGGGTCCAAATGGCTCTTTTGAGTGTTTAAGGTTGTTGACCCCTGAACTAGACAGACCCAATTCCAGCAACCGTTCTTTATATTTTTTAGCCTCCAGTTACCTAATCATCTTTGTTGCTCTTCTCTGCACCCTTGCTTGAGTCTTTTTTTTACATCGTGGTGACCGAAGCTGGATGCAATCCTCCAAGTGTGGTCTTCCCCTCCCACTCCCCAAGTGTCCAATTTCTGATCTTACCCTGCCATGGATCAGGAACTTATAACTCATGAGGATGATTAGGTAGGACCAAAAGATGAAAAGGAGCTGCAGGACCATCAGGAGGGCATTGAAGAAGTAGTAGCCGAAGAAAGGCTGGTAGAACTCCATGCATTCGTAATATGTGCTGTGGAGAATCCTTGTGGAGGGTCAGGGAGTACAAAACAGAATGGGAAAAAAAGGTTACCCTGATCAGTGCTTTTTAAGACTGGGATAATCAATCAGGTTGGAATAGAATATAACAGAGCTGGAAGGGATCTTGAAGGTCTTCTAGTCCAACCACCTGCTCAAGCAGGAGACCCTATACCATTCCAGACAAGTGGCTGTCTAGTAATAATAATAATAATAATAATAATAATAATAATAATAATAATAATAATAATAATAATGATGATGATGATGATGATGATGATGATGATGATGATGATGGACATGGCTCACTTCCTGTGGATCAAGCGGCTACGATGGCTGCTTCTCACAAATCAGCCCATTCCTGGGTTGTGTAAAAGCAGCAGGACTTTTACAATCAGCTGTCCTGTGGCTTGAATTTCTTCCCTGGGAGAAAGGGAAGAAAAGAGATGCTCAGGCAGAGGTAAGAGCTCCCCTGGATCCCTATAATTTCAGGGATCGGAGGGTAGAGCTCCCTCGGAGCCTGAGCCAACTCCGCACTCCAGGACGTCTTTGTCCCGAAGTTCTGGGATGAAGCAAGGCGTCGTCGCTCCCACATCTGTTTTTTTGGGGAGGCTTGTGAGTATTCAAATGCAGACGGAGCAGACCAGGAGAAAGTGGATTTATTGTGACTTTAACCCCTGCAAGCATCTTCCCCCTCTTTTTTTGTTTACTTTCCAATTTCTGGAGGCAAGCTGTACCACAGGTTAATTGTCCTCACTGTCAGGAAATATGTACCACTCAGGTGATCCTGAGGACACAAGTAAACCTCCAGGTGGCCTCAACAACTCTCCAGAAGAAGACAAATGACCAGCTGTCTGTAAGGAGTATAAATCCTTCCATTTCCCCACCATCCAGTCAGAGATGAGGAAGCTTCTTGGATGAGAAGTGAAACGTCTTCAAAGAAAAACAAGAAAGTCCCGTTGCCTCCAGAAAAAGCACCTTCGGGACAACCAACTAAGAAGCTCCATAGACATTTACCTGTACTATTAGTAAATACAAGAGGGAAAGGTTTAGACTGTAAATTACATGCAGCAGAGACTTGTTCCTTTGGCTCATCTTGTACCCTGGGTTAACAGCCATTTGTCTGAAATGGTATAGGGTTTCCTGCCTGAGCAGGGGGTTGGACTAGATGACCTCCAAGGTCCCTTCCAACTTTATCATTATTACTACTACTACTACTACTACTACTACTACTACTACTACTACTACTACTATTATTATATGGATCATTGCACAGTCAGCCAGATGTTCAGACTGGATTTGGCATTTTGTCTACCTATCGAGTCCTTACCCAGGACCTGGGATAGGCAGATGTGGATGTTTGATGGTATTACAGATATCGTCGCAGGATGGAAGCAGTTCCTATTAAGGCCGCCTTTTGCAATTGACTAATAGCGAATTTGTCAATGCCAATGGTGTTCAAGTGGTGCTCCAGTTGTTTTGGGATTGCACCCAAGGAGCCTATTACTATTGGTACTATCCTTGCTTGCTTTTGCCACCGTCTTTCTACTTCTATTTGTAGGTCTTTGTATTTTGTTATCTTCTCCAGTTCTTTCTCTTCTATTCTGCTGTCTCCAGGCACTGCCATGTCCACTATCCAGAGTTTTTTGTCTTTCTTATCGACCATTGTGATGTCCGGGGTGTTATGTTGCAGGTGCTTGTCTGTTTGAATTCTGAAGTCCTAGAGCAGCTTAATTTTATCATTTTCTATGACTTTCTCTATTTTATGATCCCACCAGTTTTTGCTTACAGACAAATGATATTTTTTGCAGATCTTACAATGCACCTGTAAGGACCCACCCCACTTTGCATCTTAAGAAGACAGAACTCTTGGAATAATTCTTCCAACAGGAATCCTTTATTAAGAGAAAATGGTTGCAGGCATGCTAGACAGGACTTGGGGTCCAAGCTCTCCCATTCAAGGTTTTAAGGGGTTCCCCAGTAGTCCCACCCAATCAACCCCCCTTCCAGTGATAGTTTCAAGTATCACAATTCCACCCCCTTTCTTCTTCTTCCGTCTGGATGGAGACTTCAGATAACTACATGAAAGGCAAATACCCTTCCTTGTTATGGTAATGTTCTTGGGTGCTAACACTTTGAGGTTACAATAAACACACATTCAGCATTCAGCTCTTTGAAGTGTACTGAAGGAAGTGAGGGCCATAAAGCCCCTTTGTTCTCCCCTTCTCTCCCTCTATGGCAGAATCCAGAGAAGGCAGAATTGGGGTTTCTATATTTGATAATTAAAGATGAAATATAATTGGATTCTGACAGCACCATTATTGCTACTTTGTCATGCCGCTGCTTGTAGTCAGTCTGTGCAATCTTCTTGCAACAGCTTACCAGGTGGCCCACTGTTTCTTCAGCTTCTTTGCATAGGCAGCCCTTACTGTCTGTTGCTGTCTTCTCAATTTTGACTTTATATGCATTTGTCCTTAAGGCTTGGTCTTGTGCAGCCAGAATTAGTCCCTTGGTCTCTTTCTTCAATTTTCCTGCTCTTAGCCATTGCCAGGTCTTGTTAATATCTGCTATTATTATTATTATTATTATTATCGATCATCGCACAGTCAGCCAGATGTTCAGACTGGATTTGGCATTTTGTCTACCTATCGAGTCCTTACCCAGGACCTGGGATAGGCAGATGTGGATGTTTGATGGCATTACAGATATCGTCGCAGGATGGAAGCAGTTCCTAATAAGGCCGCCTTTTGCAATTGACTAATAGCGAATTTGTCAATGCCAATGGTGTTCAAGTGGTGCTCCAGTTGTTTTGGGATTGCACCCAAGGAGCCTATGACTATTGGTACTACCCTTGCTTGCTTTTGCCACAGTCTTTCTATTTCTATTTGTAGGTCTTTGTATTTTGTTATCTTCTCCAGTTCTTTCTCTTCTATTCTGCTATCTCCAGGCACTGCCACGTCCACTATCCAGACTTTTTTGTCTTTCTTATCGACAATTGTTAAGTCTGGGGTGTTATGTTGCAGGTGCTTGTCTGTTTGAATTCTGAAGTCCCAGAGCAGTTTAATTTTATCATTTTCTATGACTTTCTCTATTTTATGATCCCACCAGTTTTTGCTTACAGGCAAATGATATTTTTTGCAGATCTTCCAATGCACCATTGTTGCTACTTTGTCATGCCGCTGCTTGTAATCAGTTTGTGCAATCTTCTTGCAACAGCTTACCAAGTGGTCCACTGTTTCTTCAGCTTCTTTGCATAGGCGGCACTTACTGTCTGTTGCTGTCTTCTCAATTTTGACTTTGTATGCATTTGTCCTTAAGGCTTGGTCTTGTGCAGCCAGAATTAGTCCCTCGGTCTCTTTCTTCAATTTTCCTGCTCTTAGCCATTGCCAGGTTTTATTATTATCTGCTTTCCCAGCTATTTTTTTCATGTATTGGCCATGTAGTGCTTTGTCTTCCCATGCCTCTATTCTGTTCTTCATTTGGTCTTTCTTGTAGGCCAGTTTGGTCTCTCCAGTAGTTAGTAAGCCTTCCTGATATACTAATTTCAGTGCATCTTCATCATTGTTCTTCAGATATTCTTCCAAAGCCATTTTTTCTTCTTCAACCATCTGATGTACTTGTAGCATTCCACGCCCACCTATTTGCCTTGGTAGATAAAGTCTATCAATGTCACTGCGTGAATGAAGGGCATGATTCATTGTCATTATTTTTCTGGTCTGCCTATCCATTGCTTTTAGTTCTGCTTGAGTCCAGTCCACTATTCCAGCTGTGTACCTAATGACTGGGATTGCCCAGGTGTTGATTGCCTTTATGGTATTTCCTCCATTGAGTTTGGATTTTAAGATCTTCTTCACTCTCTTGATGTATTCACCTCTAATCTTTTTCTTGACTTCAGTGTGCTTGATGTTGTCAGCTTGAAGGATACCCAAGTATTTGTAGTACTCTTCCTCATCCAGACTCTTAATGTTATTTTCGTGGGGCATCTTGATTCCTTCAGTTTTCATTATTTTTCCTTGTTTGATAGTAAGTGTGGCACATTTGTCCAAGCCAAACTCCATTACAATATCTTGGCTATATATACGGACAGTGTTGAGCAGCGATTCTATTTCAGATGATGTTTTTCCATACAGCTTCAGATCATCCATATAAAGGAGGTGGGATAGTCTGGCAGATGTTTTTGATGTTTGATAGCCATGTCCTGAGTTATTCAGTATTGTTGACAGAGGAAACAGTGCAATAACAAATAGTAATGGTGATAATGAATCTCCTTGAAATATTCCTCTCTTGATATTAACCTCTCCCAGCCTCTCACCATTGATCTGCAACTGTGTTTCCATTGTGCCATCGATCTTTGCACAAATTTTCTGATGTTTCTACTGACTCCTGTTATTTCTAGGCACTTTATTATCCAATCATGTGGCAGAGAGTCAAATGCCTTTTTGTAGTCAATCCATGCCACATTCAGGTTGGTCTTCCTTCTCTTGCAGTTTTCCAAGATCATTTTGTCTATTAGGAGTTGATCTTTTGTTCCTCTGCTGTTGGGGCGGTTTCCTTTCTGCTCAGGTGGAAAGAGATTGTTTTCAACTAGATGCTGTTGCACTGCATCAGCTACTACACCAGTTAGTAATTTGAAAGTTGTTGGTAAGCAGGTAATTGGCCTGTAGTTACCTGGTGTTGCCCCTTTTGCTGGATTTTTCATTATTAGGTAGGTTTTCCCAGTTGTTAGCCACTTTTCAATTTCTCCTCCTTGTAGTATATTGTTGAACTGCTTGGCAATGAGTGGGTGTATAACAGTTAGATGTTTCAACCAAAACCCATGCAGTTCATCTTCACCTGGTGCTGACCAATTTTTGATTTTCTTTGCTCTTTTTTCTACCATTTTTGTTGTTATTACTAGTTCTTTCATTTCAACTTCTGTTTTATTTGCATCCACCTCTTTTAACCAAGCCGCATCCTTGTTGTATTTCTTTGGGTTATCCCATATCTGCTTCCAGAACTGCACTGTTTCTTCCTTGTCAGGTACTGACTGATTCTTTGCAGTTTCTCCATTGATGGATTGGTAGAAACGTTTCTGATTGGATTGAAATTGGAGGTTCTGCCTATAGTTTGCAATTCGAGCTTCATATCTACTGATTTTCCTGGCTATAGCTGTTATTTGTTGCTTTATTATTTCCAGTGCTTCCTTGATCTTCCTTGTTTCTAAGTGGTATTTCTTGATTAGGTATTCTTTGGTCTTCTTGTTCTTCAGCTTCTTTTCTTTCATCTGTTCTAGCTTGCTTGCATGTGATCTTAACTTGCTGATCTTATTTTCTAGTCTAACCTTCCATTTTTCTGGTGCACTGTTTGTTTGTTTTTCTTCTTTGTTGATTTTGCATCCCAGGTATTCTGTTATAACTGCAGCTGTGCTGTACATTAGTTGGTTTGTTTCTTGCAATGAATTGGTGCTTATACTTGATATTGCAATATTTGCATCTTTTAATGCTTGTGCTAGCTGTTTCTTTGGAACAAGCTTCAATGCAGGTAGCCTTATTCTGTTGTTTTTGTGCTGTTCTAGATGCTCAGTTATTCTTTGTTTCAATTCTTTTATTTCTTTAGTTAGAGGGTTTTGTTCTTCCTGAGGTAGAGGTGCCTGGTTTTCAAATGAGAACAGTTGTATATCTCTGCTAGATTCCTTCACTGCCAACTCCCCCTGGTTTGCCTCTACATTCTGAATTACTTCTGGTAAGGCTTTGATTTCTTTGCCCTGGGTAAACCTTTGCAGTTCGTTTATTATTATTATTATTATTATTATTATTATTATTATTATTATTATTATTATTATTAGTTACCTCCTACCTCTGGCAGTTTGATGGACTATATGCAGGTTGAACCTCCCATTTGTTTGTAGCAATGACAAGCTGTGGGGTCCCAAGGGTGGAGAGTGTAAAAAAAAAAAGAGAGGTCAAGATGGCGCTGCAATTGTGCCATCAAAGCTCCACCCTTTTTGCATACATTCCTGAAACGTACTTGGAAGGAAAAATCACCAGATGGATGAACAGGAAGACTGCTGCGAAAATGACAAAGAGCCTGTCACCAGTTTTCTGCCATTTCAGATAGTGAAACGTCTTTGTAGCCTGGGGAAAAAAAGAAAGAAACAAAAAGAAGTAGAAACTGTTGTGCGTCTGAAGTTATTATTATGAGAACCCTTGACTTTTAGGATACGATGGAAATTTTCTCTGGATTTAGCAGAATGATAGAGTTGGAAAGGACGTTGGAAGTCTTCTAGTCCAAACAACTGCTCAAGCAGGAGACCCTAAGCTATTCCAGACAAATGGTTGTCCAATTTCTTCTTAAAAGCCTCCAGTCTTGGAGCACCCACAACTTCTGGTAGCAAGCTGTTCCACTGATTAATTAATCTATCAGAAAATTTATCCTTAGTTCAAGATTGCTTCTTTCTTTGTTCAGTTTCCATCCATTGCTTCTTGTCCTGCCTTCAGGTGTTTTGGAGAACAGGCTGACTCCCTCTTATTTGTGGTAGCCCCTCAAATATTGGGACCCTGTTATCATGTCACCCCTAGTCCGTCTTTTCATTAAACTAAATATGTCCAATTCCTGCAACTGTTCTTCGTATATTTAAATTACAGCACCTAGTTTCTCTCTTCCAGAGGGATGCTGAGAATTGTAGTTTGGAGAACCCGGAAATGCCAAAGAGAAATACATACAAAGATTAACGTGCATTAAGATATTACCAACAAGTATAGCTTGATGAGAATACTGCAATCCCCAAGATTAACTCAAACCTTTTTGAAGATCCTGGCTAAATGCAGGACAAATGCAAATTTCTCCAAGTCAAAATTAGGTATCTGAAATTTGAAACAATTTTAGCTGCAAATTCTTTGCATTCTCCTTTCTCTGAATTGCTTTGGTGTAGGTTTTTCTCCCTCCAAACAAGATCTTTAAATTGGAACTACAGCCCTCCCCCCTTAGTTTAGCCAATCCAACACATCTGGCAAACTGTAGGTAAGAGGAGGCTGGTATAAACTTCTTTCTAGATTTATTTTCTCTTTCCAAAGAACATGGAAAAGGCTTTTTTTAAAGAGACAGAAAGAGAAGGAGATGAGATGAGATGAAAAGAAGAGAAGAGAAGAGAAGAGAAAAAAGAGAAGAGAAGGGAAGGGAAAGGAAAGGAAAGAGAAAAAGAGAAAAAGAGAAAAAGAGAAAAAGAAATTGTTCTTCCTTCTTCGGTAGAGGAAGAGAGTTCCTGAGCATTAACTTACCAGCAGGAGACAATGCGAAAAGTCAGTTAGGAGCAAGATAAGCGAACCGATACGGATGTAATTGAGACAGTATGACAAGCCAATAAGGATGATGGTGACCAAGTGGTGAACAATTTGCTGGTAAAAATCCTGCAGCAAAAGAGAATTGAACGGATGGATTTTGTAGCTGGTGCATGGAGGCCAAACATCCCCATTATGGAAAATGAGTATAGAGTGAAACTAGACAACTGTGCACGGTTGAGTCATTGTTTCAGAAATATTTCCTTACTTTTCACAATAAGGCTGGGAGCATTTGAAATCTTCCTTCCTTCCTTCCTTCCTTCCTTCCTTCCTTCCTTCCTTCCTTCCTTCCTTCCTTCCTTCCTTCCTTCCTTCCTTCCTTCCCCTTTCCCTTTCCCTTTCCCTTCCCCACCCTTCTAAGGAGTTGCAGGTTCTTGGCTGCTGCTGGATAAGGAAAGAGAACAAGGGATTGTGAGAGTGCCTGGGAAACTGTCACAGGACATTGAAAACGAAAACGACATAATCGCAGTAGCAACCCAGCAGTGCAGCAGCAGGCAGGAGCATTGAAGCATTCCCCAAATTTCATTACTCCTGGATTTTGGACATGTACTGTAAGTTAGCTCATTTGGGTTATATTGCTTAAAAAATGATTGCCTATGATGCCCCATTTCGCCTAGTTAAAGGTCATAACAACTAATGTCTATGGAGATTCTCAGTCCTCCCATGTCATGGTTGTCCCAAAGGTGCTTTTTCAAAAGGCAACTGGACTTTGTTTTCCCTTGAAGATGTTTCACTTCTCATTCAAGAAGCTTCTTCAGTTCTGACTAAATGACGGAGCCATTCATTCATTCTCATTCTTGGATGAGAAGGTAAACGTCTTCGAGGAAAAAAAAATCCAGCTGCCTTTTGAAAAAGCACTTTTGGGTCATAACAACAAGAATTTTAGTAACATAAAGATGTTTTGCATCTAAAGATACATAGAACTAGCACCTTGTTTTTTGTTTTTTTTTTTACTTTTTCTCTTCATTTGATTGTGCAGTTTTAAAATTAACCACCTGAATCACATTAATGAAAGACATAAATTTTGGTGAAGCACCAAAAGGAGGAATTGTGTCCCTTCTGGTATCTGAATGGAGCCTTCAATCAGAATAAAGTTGGAAGGGACCTTGGAGATCTTCTAGTCCAACCCCCTGCTTTCAGGTAGGTAGCTGTCCAGTCTTTTCTTAGAAAAGTGATGAAACACCCCCAACTTCTGAAGGCAAGCTGTTGCACTGGTTATTTGTCCTCATTGTTAGGAAGTTTCTCGTTAATTCCATGTTGCTTCTCTCCTTGATTAATTTCCATCCATTGTTTCTTGCCTTGCCTTCTGGTGCTTTGGAAAATAAATTGACCCCCCCTCTTCCTTGGTTGCTGGAATTGGGTCTGTCTAGTTTAATGAAGAGAAGGACTAGGGATGACATGATAACAGTGTTCCAATATCTCAGGGGTTGCCCCAAAGAAGAGGGAGTCAAGCTATTCTCCAAGGTGCCTGAAGGCAGGACAAGAAGCAAGGGATGGAAACTAACTAAGGAGAGAAGCAACCTGGAACTAAGCAGACATTTCTTGACAGTTAGAACAATTAATCAGTGGAACAACCTGCCTCCAGAAGTGGTGAATGCTCCAACACTGGAAGTTTTTAAGAAGAGATTGGACAGCCATTTTTCTGAAATTGTATAGGCCAGGGTTCCCTGCCTGAGTAGAGGGCTGGACTAGAAGACCTCAAAGGTCCCTTCCAGCTCTGTTATTCTATTCTATTCTATTCTATTCTATTCTATTCTATTCTATTCTATTCTATTCTATTCTATTCTATTCCTTGTGGCAGTCCCTCATAGCCCCTCAGCTTTCTGACCTGCTGGTCCACATATCTTTTTGCTAGAGACCACTCACCTTCTGTTTGTCATCAAAAGGCAGCGAGATGATCAAGAAGCAGTTGAAGGAGAACTGCATGATGTAGTAGCCAAAAAGACTCAGCTGGAAAGGCTGCAATGCAAAAAAGAGAAGAGTGGGAGGAAAATAAATGGTGCCATGACAACTCTCAACTTCCAAAGCAAAAATAAAGTCCTAGATTGGTGTTTCTCAAACTCAGCAATTGTAATGGAATGTGTGAATGACCCTAGCAAAAGAAGGGAAGACACATTAGCTAGGAAACAATCAAATATGAGAGAAGCAAGAGCTCCCCTGTGTCATAAAATTCAAAGAAAGAATTTGGAAGAATAGAATGGAATGGAATGGATGCAATGGAATAAAATCTCAGAGTTAGAAGGGACCTTCAAGGTCATCTAGTCCAACCTCCTGCTCAGGCAGGAAACCCTATACCAATTCAGACAAATGGTTGTCCAATCTCTTCTAAAATACTTCCAGGGTAGGAGCATACACAACTTCTGGACGTTCCACTGATTAATTGTTCTATCAGGAAATTTCTTCTTAGTTCCAGGTTGCTTCTCTCCTTGATTTGTTTTCATCCCTTGTTTCTCGTCTTGCCCTCAGGTGCTTTGGAGAATAGTTTGACTCCCTCTTCTTTGGGGCAACCCCTGAGATATTGGGACACTGCTATCATGTCACCCCCTAGTCCTTCTTTTTATTAAACTAGACATTCCCAATTCCAGCAGCCGTTCCTTATATGTTTTAACCTCCAGTCCCCTGATCATCTATGTTGCTCTTCCCTGTGCTCTTTCTAGAGTCTCAACATCAGTTTTACATCGTGGTGACCAAAACTAGATGCAGTATTCCAAGTGTGGCCTTACCAAGGCCTTGTAAAGTGGTATCAATACTTACAAAGGCCTTCATGTGATTTGGATTCTATCCCTCTGTTAATGCAGCCAAGGACTGGGTTGGTATTTTTGGCAGCTGCAGCACATGGCTGGCTCATATTTAAGTGATTGTCTACTAGGAAGGATTCCCCCCTACTGGATCAAGCAGGTAAAACTTGCAATGGCAAGTACATACTTTCAGATTTGCAATATTCTTTCAGGTAACCTTCATAATAAAGTAGAATTATTATTATATACCCAACTGAATGCAGAATTCCAGAGAATAGCTAGAAGAGATAAGAATACCTTCTTAAATGAAAACAGTGCAAAGAAATATAAGAAAACAACAGAATAGGGAGGACCAGAGATCTCTTCAAGAAAATTGGAGATATGAAGGGAATATTTCATGCAAAGGTGGAGGTGGCAAAATTATACAGAAGAACTATACAAGAACGAGCTTAACGTCCCAGATAACCACAATGGGGTGGTCACTGACCTCGAGCCAGACATCCTAGAATGTGAAGTGAAATGGGCCTTAGGAAATCTGAGCAACAACAAAGCTAGTGGAGGTGACAGTATTCCAGCTGAGCTATTCAAAATCTTAAAAGACGATGCAGTAAAAGTGCTACACTCAATTTGCCAGCAAATTTGGAAAACTCAATAGTGGCCACAGGATTGGAAAAGGTCCGTTTACATTCTAATTCCAAAGAAAGGTAATGCCAAAGAATGTTCAAACTATGGCACCATTGCACTCATTTCACATGCTAGTAAAGTTATGCTTAAAATCCTACAAGCTAGATTCCAGCAGTATATGGATCGAGAACTACCAGAAGTACAGGAAGGATTTCAAAGAGGCAGAGGAACTAGAGATCAAATTTCCAACATATGCTGGATCATGGAGAAAGCTAGGGAGTTCCAGAAAAACATCTACTTCTGCTTCATTGACTATGCTAAAGCCTTTGATTGTGTGGATCAAAACAAATTGTGGCAAGTTCTTAAAGAGATGGGAGTTCCAGACCATCTTATTTGTCTCTTGAGAAACCTATATGTGGGTCAAGAAGCAACAGTGAGAACTGGACACGGAACCACTGATTGGTTCAAAATTGGGAAAGGAGTCCGGCAAGGCTGCATACTGTCGCCCTGCCTATTTAACTTATATGCAGAGCACATCATGAGAAAGGCAGAGCTAGATGAATCAAAAGTTGGAATTAAGATTGCCGGGAGAAATATCAACAACTTAAGATATGCAAATGATACCACTCTAATGGCAGAAAGTGAAGAGGAACTAAAGAGCCTCTTGATGCGGGTGAAGACGGAGAGTGCAAAAGTTGGTTTGAATCTCAACATTAAGAAAACCAAAATCATGGCATCCGGCCCTCTCAATTCCTGGCAAATAGATGGGGAAGAAATGGAGGTAGTGACAGATTTTATTTTCCTGGGCTCCAAGATCACCTCAGATGGGGACTGCAGCCAAGAAATTAAAAGACGCTTGCTCCTGGGGAGGAAAGCTATGGCAAATCTAGACAGCATCCTAAAAAGCAGAGACATCACCCTGCCAACAAAAGTGCGTATAGTCCAGGCCATGGTTTTCCCAGTTGCAATGTATGGCTGTGAAAGCTGGACCATAAGAAAGGCTGAGAGCCAAAGAATTGAGGCCTTTGAACTATGGTGCTGGAGAAGACTCCTGCGAGTCCCCTGGACTGCAAGGCATTCAAACCAGTCAGTCCTAGAAGAGATCAACCCCGACTGCTCCTTAGAAGGCCAGATCCTGAAGTTGAAACTCAAGTACTTTGGCCACCTAACAAGAAGGAAGGACTCACTGGAGAAGAGCCTAATGCTGGGAAAGATGGAGGGCAAGAGAAGAAGGGGACGACAGAGAAGGAGGTGGCTGGATGGAGTCACTGAAGCAGTAGGTGTGAACTTAAATGGACTCCAGAAGATGGTAGAGGACAGGAAGGCCTGGAGGAACGTTGTCCATGGGGTCGTGATGGGTCGGACACGACTTCACAATTAACAACAACAACATTATTGCTTGTACAATTGCAAAGAACAAAAGATTTAGAAAAATAATTTAAATGAGAGGATAGAAGGGGAGCTCATCAAATTTGCAGAGAACACCAAGCTGGCAGGAAGAGCCAACACTCCCGAAAGGAGTGGTGTTCAATGTTTGCTCAATGCAAAACCTGTGTCAGCTGTTGTACACTTAGGGATTCAGTCACATATATGTGACACATTTAATAGAACTCTAGGTTCAGGCAGTTAATTTTCACCTCTCCTTCTCCTGACGACATCATCCTATGGTTTTGCCAAGGATAAGGCATTGGTGCTTTGCTTGCACTTTGTCTGAGGTGGTTTTCCTTATTAATATTTAAGCACTGAGGCGTGCTGTTTTTTAGCTGTAAGAAACTGAAATAATTGAATTCTTAAGGCTTGGAGGTAGCCCAATGTATTTGGCACAGGATGCCAGGAGGAGGAGGAGGAGGAGGAGGAGAAGGAGGAGGAGGAGGTGGAGGAAGAGGAGGAGGAGGTGGAAGAGGAGGAGAAGAAGGAGAAGGAGAAGGAGAAGGAGAAGGAGAAGGAGAAGGAGAAGAAGAAGAAGAAGAAGAAGAAGAAGAAGAAGAAGAAGAAGAAGAAGAAGAAGAAGAAGAAGAAGAAGAAGAAGAAGAAGAAGAAGAAGAAGAAGAAGAAGAAGTGGCGCAGCAGATAGAGTGCAAGTCCCGCAGGCCACTTTAGCTGACTGTGTTCAGCAGGTCAGTGGTTCAAATCTCACCGGCTCAAGGTTGACTCAGCCTTCCATCCTTCTGAGTTAGGTAAAATGAGGACCCAGATTGTTGGGGGCAATGTAAATATATATATACATTGCTTACTGGTGTACACCGCTTAGAGAGTGCTTGCACTTAAAGCGGTATATAAGTCTCATAAATTAAATAAAGAAGGAGAAAGAGAAGGAGAAGGAGAAGGAGAGGAAGAAGAAGAAGAAGAAGGAGGAGGAGGAGGAGGAGGAGGAGGAGGAGGAGGAGGAGGAGGAGGAGGAGAAGGAGAAGAAGAAGGAGAAGAAGAAAGATAGAGGGGGAGGAAGAGGAGGAGGAAGAGGAGGAGGAAGAGGAGGTGGTCCTTATCAGTGTTTAAGCACTGAGGTGTGTGGTTTTTTAGCTGTAAGAAACTGAAATAATTGAATTTCTAAGGCTTGGAGGTAGCCCAATGTATTTGGCACAGGATGCCAGGAGGAGGAGGAGGAAGAGGAGGGGAAGATGTAGAAGAGGAGGAGAGAGGGAGGAGGAGGATGAGGAGGCTTGGATGAATGTGATGTTTATGGCAGGGCAGGATGTATTGCAATTTCATATTATCTATGAGAAATTGGATGCTGATTGACGAACAGTTCTCCCTTGATATGTTCATTCAAATATCTCTTGACTCCTTACCTGCTTGGGGTACCCAACCCAATATTTGCGGAGATCCCAGAACCAGGGTTTCTGCAAGAAGACACCATTCATTAGGAATCACAACACACCAGCCCAGCAACACTTCTCTAGAGCTACCTTAGAAGGGAACGATGGAAGGGAAAGGAGTCCACAAAGCAACTGCGGTCACCAAGATATTTGAAAGATGATAATAATAATATTGTCTGGTTAATTGTTCTCATTGTCAGGAAGTTTCTCCTTAGTTCTAGGTTGCTTCTCTCCTTGATTAGTTTCCATCCGTTGCTTCTTGTCCTGCCTTCAGGCGCTTTGGAGAATAGCTTGATCCCTCTTCTTTGTGGCAGCCCCTGAGATATTGGAACACGGCTATCATGTCCCCCCTCATCCTTCTCTTCATTAAACTAGACACACCCAATTACAGCAACCGTTCCTTATATGTTTTAGCCTCCAGTCCCCTAATCCTCTTTGTTGCTCTTCTCTGTACTCTTTCTAAAGTCTTAACATCTTTCTTACATCGTGGTGACCAAAACTGGATGCCGTATTCCAAGTGTGGCCTTACCAAGGCCTTGTAAAGTGGTATTAACACTTGATGTGATCTTGATTCTCTCCCTCTGTTAATGCAGCCCAGCACTGTGTTGGCCTTTTTGGCAGCTGCAGCACACTGCTGGCTCATATTTAAATGATTGTCCACTAGGACTCTAAGATCCCTCTCACAGTTACTACTATTGAGCAAGGTACCCCCTATACTATACCTGCACATTTGGTTTTTCTTGCCTAAACGTAGAACCTTACTTTTTTCACCATTGAATTTCATTTTGTTATATAGCGCCCAGTGTTCACGTCTGTCCAGATCCTCCTGTATCCTAAGCCTGTCTTCTGGAGTGTTGGCTATTCCTGCCAGCTTGGTGTCGCCTGCAAATTTGATGAGTTCCCCATCTATCCCCTCATCCAGATTGTTGATGAAGATGTTGAAGAGCACTGGGCTCAGAACAGAACCCTGGGGCACCCCACTACACACTTTCATTGAGGACCACATGCTGAGTACTGCCGGTCAGCCAGGTATGGATCCATCTGGTGGTGATGCTGTCTACCCCACATTTTTCTATCTTATCAAGTAGTAGGTTGTGATCTACTTTGTCAAATGCCTTACTGAAATCCAAGTAAATTATATCCACAGCATTCCTCTGGTCCACTAATTTTGTCACTTGGTCAAAGAATGCAATAAGGTTTGTCTGGCATGATCTGTTTTTGACAAACCTGTGTTGGCATTTAGTAATGACTTTGTTTACCTGTAGGTGTTTGCTGATTCGTTGTTTGATTATCTTTTCCAGAATCTTCCCAGGTATTGAGGTTAGGCTGATAGGTCTGTAATTTCCTGGGTCCTTTTTCCCCCCTTTTTTGAAGATGGGAACTACATCAGCATTTTTCCAGTCCTCTGATAGTTTCCCAGTGCTCCAGGATCTTTGAAAAATATAGTTCAGTGGTTCTGAGATCACATCTGCCAGTTCCTTAAGATGCTATTTGGGTGTAATTCATCTGGTCCTGGTGATTTGAACTTGTTGGAATATTCATGAGCAGGAAGACTCACGTGGTAACTCAGTCAGCCAATGTGAAGAAAGTGCTACTGAGTCCGTGCAAAAAGGGTATTGAGTTAGGAGCTGAATTTTTCGGTCTCAGGTCTGTCTCTGTATCTCTCTATAAGAAGTCTTCATAAAGAAGAATGTATGGTATTGTAAATATTTTTATATGACTATAAAGAAGTTATTTTGAATCAGCTAAATGCAATCAACTGTGAGAGCTTCTGATTTATTTTTTCACCAATAGAGAAATTAAAATTCTCTAACAGGTTATGGGCCCAGAGCTTAATAAGGACTGCATTGTAATTTAAAGCTGGAAGAAATTGTCTGTGTTTAGAAAATATAAGAACAAGGCAGAATTAGCAGAATGGCTGCAATGGAATTTAAGGAAAGCTGTGTGCCTCATTTGGGCCAGAAGAAATACATTGTGTGGGCTGCTAAAATGAAATGTTTGCTGAAAGCTAAAGAGCTGTAGTATATTGTAGAAAATCCACCACAAGTATTTGCAGCTGCTGATCAGAAGAGTCATGATCAAGCAATGGCTTATCTCATCTTGAATTTAGATGATGAACAATTTCTAAATGTTGCAAATTTAAAGACTGCAAAGGAGATTTGTTTGAAGTTGAAAGCTGTGCACGTGAATGTTTCTGCATGCAATATAGTGCAATTGTCAAGAAAACTTTACCGGGCCTGTTTGCAACCAGGTGAATCTGTGGAACAGCATTTAAATAAAATGCAAAGCTTATTTTTGGACTTAGAACAATGTGGGATTAAATTCCCTGGGTCCCAGAAGGTTTTATTGGTGTTGAACAGTTTAGATAAAACCTGGGATACAGTTTCTGCTATATTTGAGTGTAAAGAAGAGCAAGACTTAAATTTTGAGGCTTTAAAGGCACGTTTGCTTAATGAAGAAATAAAGCGCCATTTTAGGAACAGTCACGAGGAGGAGAAATTCCTGAGGAGGGGGTCCAGACTGCAAGTCTCCGGAGGAGAAGAAACAAGCAGATCAGACCTGGACCAAGTTGCAACAAAGGAGAGATTTTGCAGGCAGAGAGCTAAGCGAGAAAAGAATTGCTACATTTGTGGAGCAAAGACACATCTGAAAAGGAACTGTTTGCAAAGGAACTGTTTGCAGCAAAGGACATTTGAGCAATCAAAAAGGACTGATTTGCAAAAAGCACATTTTGGTGTTGCAAAAGTTTGCTATAGCAACAACAGAGACAAGTGGCTAATAGATAGTGGGGCAAGTCAAACAATTGTTAATGACTCTGAATTATTTTGCAGGTTTGTTCCAGTAGCACAAGAAGCTGTGGCTTTGGCAAATGGCCAGAAAGCAAAAGTCATCGAAAAAGGCGATGTAAAAATTCCATATTTGGAATCAAAGTTTACCAATGTGCTTTGTGTACCTGAGATGGAACATAATTTGTTAAGTGTGTCTAATTTAGACAAACAAGGTTTTGAGATCATTTTTGTAAATGGGAAGTGTCTCATCAAAAGGAATGGGAATATTTGTGCAGAAGGCATAAAGGAAGATAATCTATATGTATTGCAGGGACAAAAGGTTCAATGTTCCCATATATTTAAGAATGTTGCAGAGCATGATTCATGTGTTCATCTTCTACATAGAAGACTTGGCCATGCAAGCTTTAAAGTTTTGCAGCAAATGCAAGATTTTGCAGAAGGGTTAAATTTGAAGGGATGCAAAACATATTTGGACTGTGCAGTATGCAAAGCATCAAAGTCAAAGGCATTCCCAGTTAGTAAATGTAGCACAAGACAAACAAAAAGAGTTCTAGAGCTGGTCCATGCAGATCTGGTGGGACCTATGCAAGCCAGTTTGGGAGGAGCAAAATATGCACTGGTAATTGTTGATGATTATAGCAGGTATAGTTTTTGCTACTTGCTTAGAGGAAAGACAGACGTGCTACAACAATTCAAACAGTGGGTAAGTTTTGTAGAGAGAAGGTACAGACAACAAGTGTGTCAGTTGCAAACTGACAGAGGTACTGAATTTATGTCAACTAAATTCCAACAATGGTTGGGGCAGTTGAGGATAAGACACAGACCTACAAATCCTTACACAGCAGCAGAGAACGGTGTAGCTGAAAGAAGGAATGGTGTTTTGGAAACAATGAAAGATTCATTATTGGAGGATTCTGGTATGAGCAGGTCATATTGGGGAGAAGCCATATTGACTGCCAATTATATAGTTAACAGGCTGTGGAGTTCCTCCATTAATAATACTCCATATGCCATTCTATATGGGAGAAAGCCATCATTGGCACATTTGAGAATTTTTGGAAGTACTGCATGGGTACATATTCTGAAAGCAATTAGAAGAAAGGGACAGCAAAAGGCAAGAAAGCTCAGGTTTGTGGGATACGAGCCAGAGTCAAAGGGATATCGCTTTAGCGATGGAAGTAAAAGAATTATAATTTCAAGGTCTGCTAATTTTGCAGAACAAAATTGGGACAGAATTAATGCAAATTCTGGGTATGTCTCACTTAATGACGGTGATCTATTTAAAGCCAAGAAGTTATAAAGAAGTTTTATTACCAAAAGCTGAACAAGAAAGATGGAAGGAGGCTATGGATAAAGAGATGAAATCCATGGGAGACCATGAAGTATTTAAATCATTGACTTTGCCACAGGGAACCAAAGCTGTGGGTTGTAAGTGGGTATATAAGAAAAAGGTATTGCCAAATAATGATATACAGTATAAGGCCAGGTTAGTGGCACAAGGTTTTTCACAATTAAACAATGTGCACTACGATGAAGTATTTGCGCCAACTGTGAAAAGTGAGAGTATAAGATTAGCACTGGCATTGGCAGCGGCATATAAGCATAAAATCTGGCACTTTGATATCACAACTGCATTCCTCAATGCTGAGTTAGAGGAAGAAATTTATATGATCCAAGCACCAGGATATGAAATTGCAAAACCTAACATCGTATATAAATTAAACAAGGCTATTTATGGGCTGAAGCAGTCAGCCAGAAACTGGAATATCTGTTTAGATACTGCTTTAAAGGATCTTGGATTTAAAAGTTGCAAAGCTGATAATTGTATATATACTGGACAGTTACAAGGAGGGAATTGTCTACTGTTATCATTTGTGGATGATCTTTGCTTCATCGCAAAGGATGCATCACAAGTCAAGGAATTTGCTGATAAATTAGGAAAGAAATTTGAATTAAAGAGTTTGGGAGAAATAAAAAATTATCTCAGTGTAGAGATAGAGAACAATGAAAAGGGTGGTTATATTCTCAGTCAAAGGAGAAAAATTGAGCAGTTATTGGAGAAATATAATATGAAAGATTGCAATACTGCTCCCACACCCATGAGTATGGATTTTTATAATAGTTTAAATGCGGACAAAGGTGAAACCTGTGATCAAGAGATATATCACTCAGCAATAGGGAGTTTGTTATATCTATCACAGTGGTCCAGACCAGACATAGCTTGCGCAATAAGCATTTTGAGTCGTTTTACTGCTGCACCTACAAAGTTACATTGGATGGGTGTAAAAAGGGTTCTCAGATATTTAAAGGGAACTATAAATTTGGGTCTTCAAATACAGATTACTGAGGAATTGAAATTAAAGTGTTATGTTGATAGTGACTATGCAAATGACATAAATACAAGGAAATCAAATTCTGGGATTATAATATTGTTTGGAGGGACTCTGATTGGATGGAAGTCCAGAAAACAAACAACTGTTGCTATTTCAACAGCGGAAGCAGAGTTTATTGCTTTATCTGAATTGTGTTCTGAAGTAACATGGTATGTACAGTTGTTGCAAGATTTAAATATTAATGTAAAAGAATCTGTAAAGGTATTTGAAGACAATGCTGCCTGTATAAAAATGGCAACTGGTGACAGCGTGAAGAACAGAAGTAAACATGTAGACATTAAGTATTGTAATGTCAGGGAAGCTGTAAAAGGAAAATTGATTAGTTTACATCATTGTTCTTCTGTAGATAATTTGGCAGACGTGATAACTAAACCATTGGGTAGTGTTCACTATGGAGAATGTGTTAAGTCAATAGGTCTGATGTCTCTTCCTGTCATGAAGGGAGGAGTGTTGGAATATTCATGAGCAGGAAGAGTCATGTGGTAACTCAGTCAGCCAATGTGAAGAAAGTGCTACTGTGTCTGTGCAAAAAGGGTATTAAGTTAGGAGCTGAATTTTTCGGTCTCAGGTCTGTCTCTGTATCTCTCTGTAAGAAGTCTTTGTTTGTGCTATGTTGCTGTAAAGAAGAATGTATGGTATTGTAAATATTTTTATATGAATATAAAGAAGTTATTTTGAATCAGCTAAATGCAGTCAACTGTGAGAGCTTTTGATTTATTTTTTCACCAATAGAGAAATTAAAATTCTCTAACAGAACTCATCTAGGCTGGACAGGTATTCAGTTACCATTTTCTTGCCTATCTTAACTTGTATTTCTATTTTGTTTTTTATGGCACTATTTTTGATAGGTTGGTCTGTTTTTTTCCCTTTATGTAAAGACAGATGCGAAAAATGAGTTAAATAGTTCTGCTTTCTCTCTGTTGCTTGTCACCTTCTTGCCTCTTTCACCCACTAATGGACCAATCGTTTCCTTCACTTTTTTTCTTGTTTTTTACATGTTGAAAGAAGCTTTTTTTGTTATTTTTGACTTTGGTTGCAAGCCTTAGTTCATTTTGAGCCTTAGCTTTCCTCACTTCATCTTTGCGGGCTCGGGCTATTTGCTGATATTCTGACTTAGTTATGTGTCCCTCTTTCCACTTTCTATACTTGTCCTTTTTATCTTTCAATTGATCAGAGAGTTCTTTATGCAGCCATGCTGGTTTCTTTTGAGAGCTGTTATTTTTCCTCTGTTGGTATTGTGCTAGATTGGGCCTTTATTATCTCACTTTTCAAAATTTCCCAAGCCTCTTGAGTTGTTTTCCCTGGAGGATTCTCATCCATGGAATCCTTCCCAAACCCTCTCTAAGTTTATTGAAATTAGCTCTCTTGTAGGCCAAGACTCTAGTTTGACTGTGTTCTATTGCTTGTGCTTCCGTAATGTTGAATTCCAATATTGCATGATCACTTCCTCCCAAGGTTCCTATGGCTTCAACACCTTCTATTATTTCATCTCTGTTAGTGAGAATTAGGTCCAAAATGGCTAATCCCCTAGTTCCCTTCTCTACTTCTTGGGAGACAAAGTTGTCTGCTAGGTTTGTCAGGAATCTGTTTGATCTTCCACTTGGTGCAAAGTTTGTCTCCCAGTTGATGTCAGGGTAGTTAAAGTCCCCCATTACTATTGTGATGTGCTTCCTACATACCTTAGTTAGCTGACTAGCAAAAAGTTCATCTATTTCCTGTGTTTGGTTGGGTGGCCTATAGTATACATCTATGGCAATGTCATTCCCCCCCCTCCTTTTATATAGACCCAAATGCATTCAGGACAGTTTTCATCATTGTTGTGCTCTATTTCTGTAGAGATATAGTTACTTCTTATATAGAGAGGAACTCCGCCTCCTCTTTTATTTGGTCTGTTTCTTTTAAATAATTTAAATCCCTCTAGCTGTGTGTTCCATTTGTGGGTTTCATCCCACCATGATTCTGTAATAGCAACAATATCGTATCTGCCCTCGTTAACCTGAATTTCTAGTTCACCCTGTTTGCTGTTCATACTCTGTGCATTGGTGTATAGACATTTGAGTCCTTTATGGCCGACCCTGTGTTTACTTTCTACATAACCTGTGTGGTGTCTGAGTTCCCCTAATGTCTTACCACCTATTTGGTTAGTGCACTTTGTGTGGCACTCACTATTAAGAGCTTGATTTTGCTTGACAGCAAGGTTGATGTTCTTGTCCACACACACATCTATGTTACATGCACTGATAGCCCTATAATTTTTAGATTGCTGGGGACAGGGATGTTCTGTATCAGTTAGCTCACTGTCCCCGCTGTTTAGTTTAAATATTCCTCCAGAAAATCTGTGAATTTATAGCCAAGTAACTCAGTCCCTTTCTTTGATGGATGCAAACCATCTCTATTGTACATTTCTTCATTGGACCAGCTGCTGACATCATGACTAATATATCCAAAGCCTTCCCCTTCACTCCACTCCTTTAGCCACATATTGAATTGTGCTATGTGCTGGCCTTTTCCATTTTGGTCCTTATACACTGGTAAGACCTCTGAAAAAATAAGCCTACAGCCTATTCTGCTAAGTTCCTGCCCCAGGCTCTGGAAGTCATTCTGCACAGTGAGTACATCTTTTTGGGACAGATCGTTAGTGCCAAGATGTATAATAGCCTCCACATCACAGTCCTTGCTTGCATTTTTGATTATTTTACAAACACGCTTCTTGTCCCTACTGGCAGTAGCACCTGGAAGACACTTTCTTTTCTACACTGCCAACTTTTTGTAATCACATAGAGAAGCATTAAATTCCAGGGACCAGGAGACAGAGAAGAGTCACCAGCTGCATTACACATGGCAAACTCTCTTTTGATAATGACCAACTAAAATGGGGAAAGAATTGGAACTCACATCATAAAGGATGACCAGCCCCGTGCAGAAGGAAGTAAAGTAGTAGGTGGCTCCCAAGCTGGAAAACAATCAGAAAAAAATATCAGGGCAGAATTAGACAGCAGAGGTGGCGATCCAGAGCGTCTAAAGCTGGAGGTGTATACAAAGATCATCTAGTCCACCTGACAGAGGTGCAAGACATCCACTATTCCAACAGCCCTCACTTCCACCTTCTGAAACAGTTTAGCATTCCTTGATCCTGTTTAGCTTGGTGGATGCATTCATTGCCAGTTGCAATGTCAACATGCCTTGCTTGGCCTGGACAAGTTACAAAAACCCACCAGATATTCTCTCTAACAACCCAATGGACCTTCAACTAGTTGAGGATCCAAAAAGTATCACTGCAGGTTGCACAGGTGCTCCAATACTGGAGGCTTTTAAAAAGACATTGGAGAACCAATGGTATAGGGTTTCCTGCTTGAGCAGAGGTTTGGGCTAGAACACCTCTAAGGTCCCTTCCAACTATGTGATGTGGTGTGGTGTGGTGTTGTTATGTTGTTATGCTATGCTATGCTATACTATGTTGCTGTGTTATTATGTAGAATAGAATGGAATGGAATGGAACAGAGCAAAACAGAATAGAATAACATTATTCGTCAAGCTAAACACACAAGCAATTTACATCTGGTGCATCACAGGGTACATCAACTAATTGGTTATAGATCATAATAAACAATTATTGATAAATCATAAGAAACCAATAGGAGAAAATAGTAGGAAAGATGAGCAGATGAGAAACAATGAGAAATGAGACAGTGCTGTGGGAATTAAATATTCAGCAGAGTGATGGCAGGGGGAAAAACCATCTTTGCATCTAGTAGTTATGTTATGTTATGTTATGTTGTTATGTTATGTTATGTTATGTTATGTTATGTTATGTTATGTTATGTTATGTTATGCTATGCTATGCTATGTTCTTCTTAAATCATTCACAATCATCTTGGAAAGTGGGACAGGACAGAAAAGCCATTGGGCACTGAAAGATCCACCAGAGCCAATGAGCTGCACTTTGACTATGTGGCCCCAGGAGTTTCTCTGCTCACCTGGTTTCACAGAATTCCTTGGTCAAGCTGGGCCGGTTCTGGTTCAGCTGATATCGAAACCACCTCTCTACCTGTCTCGGTTGGAGGTCACAGTGCTTGGCTAAACCACTGACTTTTTCCTGGAAGGCAGGACATGAAACCAGGTGAGAAAAGCTGCACAGCCAAGCATGAGTCCACTTTACTTGGAAAAGCAACAGGCTCTAGTTGTTTTAACTAATAAACAAACAAACAAACAAAGCCAGTGAATATCAGGAACATTTTATCCAAGGCCAGAGTTTCATCCACCTTTAGCCATAACTTCCAACATCTGGAAGAAACTCACCTTTGGGGGACTTTTCCTCCACTTCCTATAAAAAGCTTCCAGGATGGAGTCTGGAGAAGGTTTCCGCCTCACCTTTTCTTGCAAACCTAGTTTTTTGCTCAAGAGCATGGCAATCATCCTGGCAAAGAGAACAGCTTGGATCAAACGAACAAACATTGGCTAAATTTAACTAGACCTTGGCTTCCGCTTTCATGCTTCATTCAAGAACAGATCCTTCAAAACCAACAGAAAGAAAACAAGGCCGCTGAGCATAATTGCTCTCTTTCTCTCTCTCTTTTTTTTTTTTAAAGAAAAAAACGTTTTCAAACTGCCAAAAAAGCCAATACGGTCCTAGGGCGCATTGACAGAGGGATAGAATCAAGATCATGTGAAGTGTTAATACCACTTTATAATCCCTTGGTAAGACCACACTTGGAATATTGCATCCAGTTTTGTTCTTTATTATGTAACAAGGATGTTGAGACTCTAGAAAGAGTGCAGAGAAGAGCAACAAAAAGGATCAGGGGACTGGAGGCTAAAACATATAAAGCACTGTTGCTGGAATTGGGTATGTCTAGTTTAATGCAGAGAAGGACTGGGGTAACATGATAGCATCTTCCAATATTAGAGAGGCTGCCGCAAAGAAGAGGGGGGGTCAACTTATTTTCCAAAAGACCTAAAGGCAGAACAAGAAACAATGGATGGAAACTAACCAAGGAGAAATAAGGAGAAATTTCCTAGCAGTGAGGACAATTAACCAGTGGAACAACCTGCCTCCAGAAGCTGTGAATGCCCCAATACTGGAAGTTTTAAAAAAGAGACTGGACATTTTTCTGAAATAGTATAGGGTTTCCTGCCTGAGCAGGGGGTTGGACTAGAAGACCTCCAAGGTCCCTTCCAACTCTGTTATAATAAAAATAATAATGGTGAAAGGTAATACAAATGACTTTAAAGGTAGTCTTTGACTTATAACCACTTATAACTCATCATGAGATGAGATTTTCCGTGACTAAGCAAGGCAGCTGCCAAGTAAGCCATATCTGATTTTTATAATCTTTTCTGATATAAACAAATCATTGCAGTTGTTAAGTGAATCATGCAGTCGTTAAGCAAATCCAGTTTTCCACATTGGCATTGTTTATATCAAGCCAGCTGGGATGGATGCAAAATGGTGATCAGGTGATCCCAGGGCACTGCAAACTTCGTAAATACCTGCCCGTTGTCAAGCACTCAATGTTGAATGGTCACTAAATGAATAGTTGTAATGTTAATATAGCACAAGCTTAATCTTTACCTATATCATCAAATTTGGACCATATCAAAACCTATTGCTCTGTCTTCCCATTTATAAAAACAAGTATCAGAACGATATTAGCCCTAGCAAGACTGAACAGAATTGTGTTCTATATCCCTCATTGTGATTATTTTTCATCTTTTGTTCTGAGATGGTTGCACTGTTCCAAATAGAGCCAGGACTTAATTAGGGCTCTTGTAGACATTTTAAAGACCGGGGGGGGGACATGTTAGCAGTATTCCAGTATTTAAGGGGCTGCCACAAAGAGGAGGGGGTCAATTTATTCTCCAAAGCACCAGAAGGTAAGACAAGAAGCAACAGATGGAAACTAATCAAGGAGAGAAGCAACCTAGAATTGAGAAACTTCCTTAACAGTGAGGATAATTAACCAGTGGAACAGCTTGCCTCCAGAAGTTGTGGGTACTTCATCACTGGAGGTTTTTAAAAAGAGATTGGACAACCATTTGTCTGGAATGGTCCAGGATTTCCTGCTAGAGCAAGGGGTTAGACTACAAGACCTCCAAGGTCTTTCCAAATCTGTTATTCTGTAATCCGAGACCAATTAATCAGGGGAACGACTTGCCTTCAGAAGTTATGGATGCTCCATCACTAGAGGTTTTTAAGAAGAGATTGGACAGTCACTTGTCTGAAATAGTATACGGTCTCCTGCTTGAGCATGGAGTTGGACTAGAAGACCTCCAAGGTGTCATGGTTCCGACAGATGAAACTCTTCAAAAGAACTTCAAGGCATTGTTTACCTTAAAGAATCTTTTATTAAAGAAACAAAGTATCGGCACTACACAGTTAAAGCCAAAAACTGAATTCCCCTCCCCTGAGCACAAAGTAACAAAGCACAATTCCCTCCTCCAATTAACTGTCATAAATCACATTCCACAATTAGCTTGAAGCACGGGCTTTCTCCCCAGCTCTCCAGCCCTCCAAATATTTATCAACTCTGGGCGCAATAACCTTGGATTCCCATGGCTGAGTTATTATTGTTATGACTAAGTGGACTCTCATTCACATTCCCTCTCCCAGCATCAACTAACTCTAAAAGCAAAAGAGTAAAATAGCTGCATTTCCATCTGTTGTCAAAGCAAGAACATCCAATATTAGCAGCGTTGGCATCTGCGCCTCCCCCCCCCCTTACAAAAAGGACAAATCCTATAATACAAACAAAAGCACAGGTTAAGGGTTGCCTCTTGGCTTGTTTCTTATAGAATCTATTAATGAGTCTGTCAGCTTTTACATCACTAGATTTCACCCAGGTGATCTCAGACAACGGATATCCCTTCCATTGCACTAAATACTGCAATTTCCCTTTAAAAATTCTTGAATCAAGAAAACACTTTACTTCATAGTGAGTTTGTCCTGCCACTATGGTCCAGGTGCCTTCTCATGGGGAGGTTTTAAACCTGAAAAGGTTTCAACAGGCTACAATGGAAAACAGGGTAAATTTTCCCTAAGAGCCTGGGACCTTTTAATTCTACCATGACCGGGTTAATGATATTTATGATGGGGAAGGGTCCTAACTTCTTACTAGGTGACTTGAGCCATAAATATTTAGTCAACAGATAAATCTTTTCCCCAACTTGAAATATCCTTTGAGGAGCCCTTTTCCTATCTGCCTGTTTTTTGTATGTCTCGGAAGCCTTTTTCAAAGCAGTTTTCGTGGTTTTTCCAGACCTCCTCCCACCCCTTCACCCATTGATCAAGAGTCTGGGAATTGGATGGTCCTTGGAGATATTTGGGTATTGGGCTGAATTTCTTCCCTGTGGCCACTTTAAAAGGCGTGAAGCTGGTGCTGCTGTGAACAGAATTATTGTAAGCCACCTTTCCAAAAGGGAGGAGGTTAGTCCAGTTCGTTTGTTGATAATCCACATAGTATTGGAGATATTGCTCCACCATTGAGTTCACTGATTCAGCCACACCATTGGTAGACAGGTGAAAGGCTGATAATAGTCCTTGAGATGAGCCAATTTGTTTGAGAAAACTCTTCCAAATCTTAGCTGTAAACTGCACCCCTATCAGAGACTATGCATTTTGGTGCACCATACGGTCTATAGATGTGTTTCAGGAACATCTTGGTTAGTCATTGGGTGGACGGGAGTCCTTTGCAGGTAATAAAGTGAGCCTGCTTTGAAAACAGATCTATCCCAGTCCAGATGACTCTATTTCCCCTACTTTCAGGTAGATCTACTATAAAATCCATAGCATTTTTCCCCCATGGTTGGGAAGGGTCCACCACCAGTTGCAACAACCCAGGGGATTTCCCCAGGATTCTTTTTATGGTGGCACATATAGCACAACTCCAGACATTGTTTTCCACATCCTGTTTCAATCCCAGCCACAGGGAGAAAGCAGAACTATTTAACTCATTTTTGCATCTGTCTTTACACAAAGGGAAAAAACAGACCAACCGATCAAAAATAGTGCCATAAAAAACAAAATAGAAACACAAGTTAAGATAGGCAAGAAAATGGTTAGTGAGCACCTGTCCAGCCTAGATGAGTTCAAATTGCGAGGATCAGATGGATTACACCCCAGAGTTCTCAAGGAATTGGAAGGTGATATTGGAGCCACTGAACTATATTTTTCAAAGATCCTGGAACACAGGGGAACTACCAGAGGACTGGAAAAGAGCTGATGTAGTTCCCATCCTCAAAAAAGGAAAAAAAAATGGATCCAGGAAATTACAGACCTATCAGCCTGACCTCAATACCTGGGAAGATCCTGGAAAAGATAATCAAACAACGAATCAACGAACACCTAGAGGCAAACAAAGTCATTACTAAAAGCCAACATGGGTTTGTCAAAAATAGATCATGCCAGACAAATCTTATTGCATTCTTTGACCAAGTGACAAAATTAGTGGATCAGAGGAATGCTGTGGACATAATTTACTTGACTTCAGTAAGGCATTTGATAAAGTAGATCACAACCTACTACTTGACAAGATAGAAAAATGTGGGGTAGACAGAACCACCACCAGATGGATCCGTAGCTGGCTGATTGGCTGTACTCACCGAGTGGTCTTCAATGGAACTGCATCTATATGGAGGGAAGTGTGTAGTGGGGTGCCCCAGGGCTCTGTTCTGGGCCCAGTACTCTTCAACATCTTCATCAACGGTTTGGATGAAGGGATAGATGGGGAACTCATCAAATTTGCAGATGACACCAAGCTGGCAGGAATAGCCAACACTCCAGAAGACAGGCTTCAGATACAGAAGGATCTGGACAGACTTGAACACTGGGCACTAACTAACAAAATGAAATTCAATGGTGAAAAAAGCAAGGTTCTACATTTAGGCAAGAAAAACCAAATGCACAAGTACAGCATAGGTGGCACCATGCTCAATAGTAGTAACTGTGAGAGGGAACTCGGAGTCCTAGTAGACAATCACCTAAATATGAGCCAGCAGTGTGCTGCAGCTGCCAAAAAGGCCAACACAGTGCTAGGCTGCATTAACAGAGGGATAGAATCAAGATCACGTGAAGTATTAATATCACTCTTCAATGCCTTGATAAGGCCACACCTGGAATATTGTATCCAGTTTTGGTCACCACGATGTAAAAAAGATGTTGAGACTCTAGAAAGAGTACAGAGAAGAGCAACAAAGATGATTAGGGAACTGGAGGCTAAAACATATAAGGAACGGTTGCTAGAATTGGGTATGTCTAGTTTAACGAAGAGAAGGACAAGGGGGGACATGATAGCAGTATTCCAATATCTCAGGGGCTGCCATAAAGAAGAGGGAACTAAGCTATTTTCCAAAGCGCCTGAAGGTAGGACAAAAAGCAACGGGTGGAAACTAATCAAGGAGAGAAGCAACCTAGAACTAAGGAGAATTTCCTGACAGTGAGACCAATTAATCAGTGGAACAGCCTGCCTCCAGAAGCGGTGAATGCTCCAACACTGGAAGTTTTTAAGAAGAGACTGGACAGCCATTTGTCCGAAATGGTGTAGGGTTTCCTGCCTGAGCAGGGGGTTGGACTAGATGACCTCCAAGGTCCCTTCCAACTTTACTATTACTATTACTTACTTACTATTACTCTGAATCATTGGTCGGTGAGGAGCTCTCGCTTTATTTTCTTGGCCCCAGGGTCATTGGGGTTTGGGGCTCTTGAAGGTGGGCCTGTGCGGCGTTAGTTGAGAGGCAGTTTGTGGATTGGAGATAATTGCCTCATTAACCTCTTCACACTGGCTTTTGTACTGGGGCAATCTGGATAAAGCATTAGCTAAGAGCTTTTTCCTCCTGATATGTACTTTAGGATGAAATTAAAATGGTTAAAGTACTGTGGCCATCGTACTTGTTTTGGGGACAATTTGCGGGGAGTTTTCTTTGCTTCTAGGTTTTTTGATCAGTCCATACTTTGAAAGGCACCTTCCTCCCTTCTAGATAGTGTCTCCAGTTTAATAGAGCCCAGCGAATTACGAAGGCCTCCTTTTCCCACATAGCCCACCACCTCTCGAAGTCAGTAAATTTTTTTGAGGTGTAGGGACAGGCTTTTAGGGTCCCACTCTGGTTTGTTTGCAGTAGCACAGCTCTGACGGCCATGTCGCTGGCATCGGCTTGAATTACAAAGGGCTTCCCTGGGCAGGGATGCTTTAAGATCGGTTCAACTGCAAATAGTCTTTTTAAGTTCTCAAAAGTGGTCTGGCAGCTCATAGTCCATGCTAGTGGTTGGCTAGGACATGGCTTCCCTCCCTCTTTACCTGTTTTTAGTAATTCCATAAGGGTAGAGCAATTTCAGCAAAGGAGGGGATGAATTGATGCTAGAAGTTGGTGAATCCTAGGAAGCTCTGGAGCTGTTTGCGAGTCATGGCTTATACTTTGTTCGGGTCCATTTCAATGCCCTCGCTGAAAATTCTGTAGCCAAGATAACGTAGTTGGTCTGGTGAAACTCACACTTTGATAGTTTGACATAAAGTTTGGCATTCAACACCTTCTTTAACACTTCTCTCACTAGCTTTATGTGGTCAGTCATATTCGTACTGTATATCAGGATGTCATCAAGATACACCAGAACCCCTTTGTATGAATGGTCATGTAGGACCTGATTAATCAGTTGCATGAAGACAGCTGGAGCCCTCTGTAGTCCAAACGGCATGACTTTGAATAGGTAGCTCCCCATGGGACAGTTAAAAGCAGTCTTCCACTCATCTCCCTCCTTTATCCAAACCTGGTAATATGCCTCTCTCAAGTCCAACTTAGTGAAGATATTCCCCTTTGCCAGGTGGGTTAGTAAGTCATTCAGGAGGGGGAGGGGGTATTTATTTTCCAAACTCACCATGTTCAGACTTTTATAATCCACACAGAGATGAAGCGACCCATCTTTTTTTTCTTTAAATAACACTGTGGCTCCCACCCATTTGATAAATCCCCTCGCTAGGTTTTTGTCCACATATTGCTGCATCGCCTCCATCTCAAGGGGGGACATAGCATACATTCTTAGTTATGGGCGTTTGGCTCCTGGTAACAGTTCGACAGAGCAATCATTGGGTAGGTGGGGAGACAGGTTGTCACATTCTTTCTCCTTAAACACCTTCGCTAGGTCCCGGTATTCATTGGGGATGAGTGGCTCCACTGGTCTGGGGAACACGATGTATGGGAATCCCCTTTTTGCAGCTCAACCTCGTTTGCCTTCAAAGCACTTGATTGTGGCAAGGCCATCTCAAGGTACCTGGAGTCTCTACTGGGTAAGGTCCATTCCGATGACCAGATCAGCTATCCTCACAGCTTGGACTTTGCCCCCAACTGAGAGCCCTGAAAAAATTCCTTCCCTGCCAGTACGCTGGCTTGCATTCCCCCCTCTGGGGTAGCAGCCACCACCGGGTTCTGGTTTCAGGTGCTCTTTCTTTCTCCATGTTGAAATCTTCCCCAAATTTTTGTTGGACTATCGCTCAATTATAGGGTTAGCGACTGGGGCTTGGGACCCCAAGATAGTTAGGTAAAAATTGTAGTTTTTGGCTTAATGTCATGTTCCAACAGATGAAACTCTTCAAAAGAACTTCGAAGGCATTGTTTATCTTAAAGTATATTTTCTTCGAGAAACAAAATATCGGTACTACATAGTTAAAGCCAAAAACTGAATCCCCCTCCCCTGACACAAAGTAACAAAGCACAATTCCCTCCTCCAATTAACAGTCATAGATCACATTCCCCAATTAGTTTGAAGCACGGGCTTTCTCCCCAGCTCTCCAGCCCGCCAAATCTTTATCAACTCTGGGCACAATAACCTTGGATTCCCACAGCTGAGTTATTATTGTTATGACTAACTGGACTCTCATCCACATTCCCCCTCCCAGCATCAACTAACTCTAAAAGAGAGTAAAATGGCTGCATTTCCATCTGTTGTCAAAGCAAGAACATCTGATGTTAGCAGTGTTGACACAAGGTCCCTTTCAGCTCTATTCTGATTGACTGGAAGGTAGTAGCCAAGATCAAAAGGGTCTTTACTTAGTTCCTCAATGTGCCTCAATTTTGCCTGTTCCTAGACTAGCAGAGAATGCAGAAATAAGTATTGTCAGAAGGATTAATAACCTCCTGTTCAGTTTCCCTTGCTTTTCATTAGATTTTCCATCAAACTGTCATATTTCAGTTTGTCAAAAATGATTGCTAAAACACAGGATAAAAAAGGGGACATGACACTGTATCTGGAGACATTGTGTTTTTGGGTGAGGAGGAAAGGAAAGTTCTCTCCAAATAAGTGGGGAGTCAGTTTTGTCTGGCCAAGGGCTTGCCTTTTGAAGAAGAACCGGAGGGCAACCAGAAGGAGCATGATGGGAAGGCAGAGCAGGAGATGATAAGGTTGTGGATAATGGATGTCCTCTGTCTCCTGCATGTCCTCCCAGGTGATTCCCGGAGGTAGCCAGTATTCCTGTCTCCACAACCACTGCATGAGCTGCGCCATCTCCCTGAGAAGAGAGAAAAAAAGCAGAGCTGGGAACTACAAGAGTATTTCTGGAAGGAGAGTCCAGCCCCTCAGCCCTAACTCCTCCAATAACACTACTTCTCCCCTCCTGCCACCTCCCATTTCAGGGAACACAAGGACTATTGGAACTCTTCTGTGATCAAGCATCATAACATAATCTTGAAAGACTGCCACTCCATCTTATACCAAAGGGAATCAAGAAGGAACAATCTTGAGTTTTGTTCTCACCCATTCATCCTTCCAAGGGCTAAGTTGGGAGTTTCTTAACATTCCTGCACTCCTTCAAGATCTCCAGACCCATCCATACCTTCCTGGATTTTTTTCAGTTCAATTCAATCAAAATAGAACTGCAAGGGACCTTGGGGGTCTTCTAGTCAACCCCCCTGCTCAGGTAGGAAACCCTACACCATTTCAGACAAATGGTTGTCCAGTCTCTTCTTAAAAACTTCCAGTGTTGGAGCACCCACAGCTTTTGGAGGTGAGTCGTTCACTGATTAATTGTTCTCACTGTCAAGAAATTTCTTCTTAGTTCTAGGTTGCTTCTCTCCTTGATTAGTTTCCATCCATTGCTTCTTGTTCTGTCCTCAGGTGCTTTGGAGGATAGCTTGACTCCCTCGTCTGAGTCCCTGAGATATTGGAATGCTGCTATCATGTCACTCCTAGTCCTTCTTTTCATTAAACTAGACATACTCTATTAATGTTTAAATTTAACAACTCTCTCTCAACAGCGTCGGAAGGATACAACACCACCTGTCTCCTGTCTACAAGACAATTCTTTTAGCAGTCTCAAAAAGATTCCACATTCATTTGTACTCTGAATGAGGTGACCCAGATGGCACAGATGATAATTCTACCTCAGTCAATGAATTAAGTAGATTCTGAAAACACTTGGAGTTTTCTATTTCTATTAAGAGTTGGCTTGATGTTTATTTGATATTTAGGTCCAGATGGTAGCTTGTTTGTTAAAGCTTGGGATTATTATGGGGGGGTTACCCCATTATTGTACCTACCCTTATCCTACCCCAAATTCCTGTTCCCATTCCCTGCTTACCCGTATTGACCCCAGCCTTTCCTTACCTATATAAAACCTAATAAATTTTTTATATATAAAAAAGAGTTGGCTTGGCACAAGTTAAAAAACAACTTGGGTGAAAAAAAGCTGGGTGTGGAATATTTCCTGAGAATTAAATGAGCCACAACTTGACTACTTTGCAAAACTGATGGCAATCTTTTTTCAGGAATTGTATAGGGTCTCCTGCTGTATAGGTTAAAACATATGGATTACACCCCAAGGTTCTCAAAGAACTGGCAGATGTGATCTCAGAACCACTGAACTATATTTTTCAAAGATCTTGGAGCACTGGGGAACTACCAGAGGACTGGAAAAGAGCTGATGTAGTTCGCATCTTCAAAAAAGGAAAAAAATGGATCCAGGAAATTACAGACCTATCAGCCTGATCTCAATACCTGGGAAAATTCTGGAAAAGATAATGAAACAACAAATTAGCGAACACTTAGAGACAAACAAAATCACTACTAAAAGCCAACATGGGTTTGTCAAAAACAGATCATGCAAACAAACCTTACTGCATTCTTTGACCAAGTGACAAAATTAGTGGATCAGAGGAATGCTGTGGATATAATTTACTTGGACTTCAGTAAGGCATTTGATAAAGTAGATAACAACCTACTACTCGATAAGATAGAAAAATGTGGGTTAGACAGCATCACCACCAGATGGATTCGTAGATGGCTAACCGGCCGTACTAAGTGTGTGGTCCTCAATGGAACCACATCTACATGGAGGGAAGTGTGTAGTGGGGTGCTCCAGGGCTCTGTTCTAGGCCCAGTGGTCTTCAACATCTTCATCAATGATTTGGACAAGGGGAAAGATGGGGAACTTATCAAATTTGCAGACAACACCAAGCTGGCAGGAATAGCCAACACTGCAGAAGACAGGCTTAAAATACAGGAGGATCTGGACAGACTTGAACACTGGGCGCTATCTAACAAAATGAAATTCAATGGTGAAAAAAGTAAGGTTCTACATTTAGGCAAGAAAAAACAAATGTAAAGGTATAGTATAGGGGGTACCTTGCTCAATAGTAGTAACTGTGAGAGGGATCTCAGAGTCCTAGTGGACAATCATTTAAATATGAGCCAGCAGTGTGCTGCAGCTGCCAAAAAAGCCAACACATTGCTGGGCTGCATTAAAGGGATAGAACCAAGATCACGTGAAGTATTAATACCACTTTACAATACCTTGATAAGGCCACACTTGGAATACTGCATCCAGTTTTGGTCACCACGATGTAAAAAAGAAGTTGAGACTCTAGAAAGAGTACAGAGAAGAGCAACAAAGATGATTAGGGGACTGGAGGCTAAAATATATAAGGAACAGTTGCTGGAATTGGATATGTCTAGTTTAATGAAGAGAAGGATGAGGGGGGACATGATAGCAGTCTTCCAGTATCTCAGGGGCTGCCACAAAGAAGAGGGACTCAAGCTATTCTCCAAGGCACCTGAAGGCAAGACAAGAAGCAATGGATGGAAACTCATCAAGGAGAGAAACAACCTAGAACTAAGGAGAAAGTTCCTGACAGTGAGAACAATTAACCAGTGGAACTACCCGCCTCCAGAAGCGGTGAATGCTCCAACACTGGGAGTTTTTAAAGAAGAGACTGGACAGCCATTTGTCCGAAATGGTATAGGGTCACCTGCCTGAGCAGGGGGTTGGACTTGATGATCTCCAAGGTCCCTTCCAACTTTATTACTATTATTGTTGTTGTTGTTGTTGTTATTATTATTATTATTATTATTATTATTATTATTAAATATAAATAATGGAAATGGAAATGGAGAAAGAAAATGGATTTTTTTTCGGTAAATGTAAATGGACTAAACTCCCCATCAAAAAGAAATAAAATCTTTAGGAAATTTCAGAAATTAAATATAGATATAATTTGTTTGCACGAGACACACATAAAAAAACAACATCATAAAATATTGGAACACTCAAAAATGGGGAAGCTTTATTATACATGAGCACAACAGAAAAAAGAGGGGTTGCTGTATATGTTAAAGAGACAATAGTGTACTCAGATGAAGAAGGAAGAATTGTAATGGTTGAAATATATCTACATCAAAAACAAACATTATTAGTGGCAATCTATGCTCCAAATAACAATCAAGAACAATTTTATCAAAGCCTACATAGGAACCTAATAGAAATGGAATACCAAAATATTTGTTTAATATGGGACTTCAATGCGATAGTAGACGGAACAATGGATTACAAAAGCAACAAAACAGGAAAATCCGCAAGAAGATTACCTAAGACATTTTTTGATATGGCAGAGGAAATTGGAATAAAAGATGCCTGAAGAGAAATTAATTCACAAAACCTACAATATACTTTTTATTCAAATAGCCATAAATCCTGGTCAAGAATTGATATAATTTGGATGACTTCTGAATTGAGGATGGATAGACAGGGAATTGAGATAGAAATACGTACATGGGCAGACCATAATCCTCTAAAAGTGACATGGAAAGGAATACAAATAAAACCAAGATGGACTTTAAACCAATCTATACTAAAAGAAAAAGAATTCACAGAGTTAGCGAAAAAAGAAATGGAATTCTTCTTTTAAAGAAAACAAAGGAGAAGACACATCATTACAAAACTATAGGACACAGCCAAAGCGTACTTCAGAGGCATAGCTAAAATGTATACGGCAAAGAAAAATAAACAGAGAAGACAGCAATATTTATTACTAAAAGCAAAATTTGGAAAGTTAGAAACAGAACTACAAAAAAACCCACAGAAAAAGACTTTGAAAAGAGAAATGGAAATAATAAAACACAAACTAAATCTGTTGGACTCAGAAAAACTGGCACAACAGATAAACAGAGCAAAACAAAACTTTTTTGAAAATGCTAATAAACCAGGAAGATGGTTAGCTTATAAACTTAAAAAACAGAAAGAGAAGAAAATAATACTGTCAAGACTGCTAACATCAGCTGTTCTTGCTTGCCATATATGAAGAAGCAAACCTGTTTTATTTAGCCTGTATAGCACTTCTAGAGTTAAAGCAGATAGTAATAGTCTAGTGGATGGGAAAATATGCTAGTTAATCATAACAATGTCTGAGCACAGTGTGGCCAAGGTCAGCTGCAACGGGAGGGGCACTTCACACTTTACATTAATTGGAGAATGTGATTGATGACTGTAAAATGAAGGAGTGAGTTATGCTTTGTTACAGGTGTTTGGGGGAGGGAGGATTCAGTTTTTGGCTTAACTTTGTTAGTGCTGAAGCTATGCAGAATAATAAAAGATTATTTTAGAGGAATAAGCCTCAAAGTTCTTTGAAAAGCTGCTTCTTTTTGGAACCATGACAAATACATAACTTAGTAGATGGAAAAGGTTGTCTACAATTCAAAAATGAAGAAATAAAAAAGATAATTAAGGAATACTATAAGGAATTGTATGATAAAGAGGAGATTTCAAGAGAGAGAACTGCTCAATACGTAGAAGAAAGTAAACTTCCAAAAATTCCAGTGGCATTTAAAACTATGTTAGAAGAAGGAATTACAATGATGGAGATATCAGAGGCTATAAAACGACAAAAAAAAAAAAAATAGGAAAACACCGGGCCCAGATGGGCTTCCAGCGGAGTTTTATAAAAAAATTACAAGACATATTAACTGAACCACTGAAAGATGTCTTTAATGGACTTTTGTTAGAGGCTAAGCTTCCAAATACATGGATAGAAGCAAATATTACTTTAATGCCAAAAGAAGACTCAGATTTGACGTATATTAAGAATTATAGACCGATCTCATTACTTAATGTGGATTATAAAAATTTTACTTCAATAATGGCGGAGAGACTGAAAAAATACTTAATTGAATTCATACATCCAGATCAAAATGGCTTTTTACCAAAGAGACAAATACAAAACAACTTAAGAGTGATAATGGATGTATTAGAATACTATGAACTACATCCAGGGAAACAATTAGCATTAATATTTTTAGACTCCAAAAAGGCATTTGACAATGTTTCCTGGGAACTTATGATTCAGCA